GTGTAGGGAGACTGTCTCATCATAGTGTACAGCTCTTTCCCCGCAAATGATGAAAATTTGTTCTTTTTGACATGAAGAAAAAATCCACTGTGTGTATATTCCCAGTTACTTTGTGCCTTCCTCTGTTCTGAGACCGAGCTTGTTCTGAGACTCAGCTAGTGTGAATAGTGCTGCAGTCCACACTGAGGCACCAGTTCCTCTAGGATGTGTTGCTTTGGATAGATGGGGGTTCTAATTTCAGTTTTGGGTGAAACCTCTATATTGAGTTGCACGGTAGTTGGACCAGTTTATATTCCACCATGACTTTCTCACAGTGTCTCGACGGAGTAGTGAAGAAATGAAACGGGACATCTCTGCGTCTGAGGGAGCGTCACCAGCCTCTCTCATGACTATGGGCACCACATCACCACAGCTCTCCCTCTCTTCCTCTCCCACCGCCTCTGTCACTCCAAGCACCCGGAGCCGAATAAGGTAGGAAACATGTTCTGTGTACTGCTCCTGGCTTTTCAGAGTGAAGGACCTGCTTACGAGTCAGTGCTGACTGTCCCTCTTTTTCTTTGCCTGTTACTCAGTGTTGACTTTTGTTTTGTTTGAAACTGGAAGTGGCTCAGTAAGTGCAGGTCTGAAAACCTAAGTGCATGCCCTTTGGAATGCCAACATGAAGACTTGAATGGTTCAGACTTTGCATTTTCAAATTAGAGATGTTCTACTGGTAAATTCTATGCAGATACTTCAAAATCAGGTACTTGCTTTTGGGGAGAGTGTTGCTCAGTGGTCAAATACTTACTTAGCATGTGTAAAGGCCTGGGGTTCAATTTCCAGTGTCGTAAATAAATCAGTAAGTAAGGTGGAGGGAGGACAAAGAGAAAGAAGCAACACAAAACACAGGCACAAGAAGACACAGGCATGCCCACACTCAGCACTCAGAGGATGGAGGCAAGAGGACTGTGCTAACCTTGGCTACATAGTAAGACTGTCTGAAAACAGACAAACCAGAAAAAACTCTGAAATCCAAAATACTGTCCAACCATGTATTATGAAGTGGAATTGTGGGCATCCTGGTAGAGTATTAGAAAAGGCTTCCTAAGGAGGTAGAACCTGCACCCAGTCGGTGAAGATTGTGGATATGGACATTATTGGCAGAATAAGTGACTTGAATCCATGTAGGAAAGGGATGACTGAGTATGGAGTCTGGGCACGTACATGATCTGTAGGAAATGCTATGCGGGTTTAGGAGACCGATACAGACAGCTAGAGGATGGTGTCGGCTGTCTCAGGGCAGAGAAGACAGGATGGAGTAGCTAGGTGACAGGACCTCTGTGAAGTCAAATGGCTCACTTTGGTGAGATTCGAGGTAATGAGTGGAGTGAATACATCAAGATGATGAAAGAAGTTTTTTCTTCTGCAGCAAAGTCCAGAAAACTAGTTAAAAGGATATTTGTTCTAGTACTATGGGTCAAAGTTATCAAGTCTGATCAGGGTAGTCACAGGGTTGGAGAACCCAAGAAAGGCTGGGTTCAGGAGTTTTTGCAAAGGCAACAATGACTTTAACAACAGGTTTCTATGTAAGGAATGCAGGCATAGCAACTGTGAGTGAGAGGCAGCTCTGATTGCTCAGACTGGATCAGACAACAAGGTGCTATGCTAATCACTGTTGAGCAGGACAGAGAAGTGTGAGTTCATGTTTTAGAAGTTCTTTCTGGCAGAAGCTACTCTAAGAGCCCAGAGGAATGGTGATACAGAGTGTAAATCATAGCACACAGGGCACTGAAGGAGGTGCCTCTGTGAGTTTGAGCCTAGACAGGACAAATAATTAGACCTTTTTTTCCCTACACACACACACACACACACACACACACACACACACACACACACACACAGAGTTTAGATGGGAAGAAATAATATTAGAAATTTAGCATACATTGTAGGAATGAGAGAAACTGTTGACAAGTATAAGATTAAGAACAGGAGGAATGGGAAGGGCGGGCTTCGGAAACTTCACTGTATGTTAGGTTCTAGGTTTTAAGGATAAAGTGTAGCACTTGACCATTCAAACTCAAATTATGAACTTTAAAAAAGATTTTTGCAGAGACAGGATCTTACTTCATAGTCTAGACCTGCCTTGAACTTTAGATTCTTCTTAGTTTCCCAGGTATTGAGATTAAATATAGGCTTACGTTACATGCCTGTTACATGAACATACTTTTATTTATATTTCTATCTTAATTGTCTTTATTTTTGTTTTATGTGTGTGTTTTTCCTGACTGTATGCCTATGAACCATGTGTATGCAGTGCTCACAGAAGCCAGAAGAGGGCATTGGATTCCCTGGGCTGTCTAGTGGTTGGTGGGAATCAAACTTGGGTCCTCGAGAAGAACAACCAATGTGCTTTAACCCCTGAGCCATCCCTCCGGCACCATGAACTTTCTTTTAAAGCCATACCTCTTGTGTGACCAGCCTCTGTGGAGTGTATACCTATAAGCAATACATTTTATGAATAAGTAGACAGTGCAGGGCCACAGCAGCTTGGCCATTCTGCCATGCCAAAGACTTGCTAGGCACAGTGGAGCACATATGGACTCTTAGGACTCAGGAAGATGAGGCAGAAAGGTGAACTCAGGAGTTTGAGCCCAGCCTAGAACATAGTGAGCTTTCATTTTAAAAATCAGACTATACAGTTTAGCACATACTTAATGTTTTTTTTAGAAGTGATATGTTTTTGTTTGCAATGGTGGGGATTGAACCTAGGCATAGTCTAGACAAGCACTCTAGGACTAAACTACAGCCTGCCTGTCTATCTATCTATCTATCTATCTATCTATCTATCTATCTATCTATCTATCTATCTATCTATCTGTGGTGGTTTGAATATGTTTGGCCCAGGGAGTGGCACTATTAGGAGGTGTGGTCTTATTGGAGCAGATGTGTCACTGTGGGGGTGGGCTTTGAGACCCTCTTTCTAGCTGCCAGGAAATCAGTCTTCCAGTTTCCTTTGGAACAAGATGTACAACTCTCAGCTCCTCCTCCAGCTCCATGCCTGCCTAGTTGTTTTTTTGCTCCCACCATGATGATAATGGACTGAACCTCAGAACTTATAAGCCAGTCTCAATTAAATGTCCTTTATAAAAATTGTCTTGGTCATAGTGTCTCTTCACAGCAATGGAAATCCTAACTAATACACTATCTATCTATTTTGAGGCAAGGTTTCCCTAAATCACCCAGGCTAACCTAGAACTTTCACCAAAGCCTAGACAGGTCTTGAACTTGTAGTCTTCCTGCCTTAACCTCAGAAATGGTGGGGAATGGTGGGATTACAGGTCTGCTCCACCAGGCTAGTCTTGGACTTTTAATATAGTTTGGTTTTGGTGTTGTGTTGTTGTTGTTTTGAGAAAGGATCTCGTTAACTTTATGTGTACCAGGCTAGCTTAGAACCTCACAGAACTCTCCTACCTCTGCCTTCTGAGTGTCTCCGCACATAGTATAATATGTGCTGTTAATGTTTATTGCTGCCTCTTTTTTCCTTCCTATCTTAAAACATATAGTAAAATTATTTTTCCTATATGATATTTTACATATGGATATTTTGCTTGAATATATATCTGTGTACTACGTGCACACGTGGTATCTGCAGAGGCCAGAGGAAGGCACTGGGTTCTCTGGAACTGGAGTTAGAGACCACTGTGAGTGGCCATGTCAGTGCTTGGCATTGAACCTGGGTCCTCTGAAGAGCAGTCTGTGTTCTTAACCCCTGAGCCATCTCCAGCCCTGATTGTCAGGCCTTTTCTGTCTCGTTTGTCTCATTTTGAGCTCTTCGTCTCACAAAACCTTGTCCTTTGTACACTGAGTAATTTTGAAATTGATGAGAACATTAAGGACATAAGGAGATAAAAAGGGTGGAAATGAACAAAACCATGCTATGGAATCAAAGGCCCAGAGCAGTTTGTATGTCACCATATTGTGCTGAGCACCCTGGAGTCCATCCTGTTACTCCATACAGAGTGTTTGTGCCATGTGATGAGGAGCCTTGACAACCGTAGGTCTGTGGGACCACAGACTGAGAATTGATGGTGAAATTAAATAAAAGGCTATGTTGTAGCACAGAATGGCCTTAGTTTTGGGCATTTTTCTATTTAAGAGTGCAGAGTAGTGCTGAGATCCTGTTGTGGGACTCGAGTATTTCAACTTGAGTTCTTTACTTTCACAAATTAGGGAAGAAAGGAAAGACCCCCTCTCAGCGTTGGCGAGAGAATATGGAGGATCCAAGAGGAACGCCTTGTTGAAGTGGTGTCAGAAGAAAACAGAAGGCTATCAGGTAAGCACATGGTTCTCTCGTTCTATGGAAGCAGTCGCTGCACAAGTGCCACCCACCATGACTGACTGTGGACCTTACATTCAAATGCTTCTGTTTGCTTGTTTGTTTTCAAGACAGGGTTTCTCTGTATCCCTGGCTGTCCTAGAACTCACTCTGTAGACCAGGCTAGCCTTGAACTCAGAGATCCTCCTGCCTTGGCCTCCTGAGGGCTTGGACTAAAGGCTAGCGCTACTACTGCCTGGCTCACTCTTCTTAAGATATTTTAGCATTAGGTTTGAATCTTTGCTTTCACAGCATTTGGCCATTGCTGTTGGGGTTTATAATACCTGCCACTCCTTCCTCTATCTTCCAGCATTTTGCTCAGGGTTTATTTTAGATAATGTTAAATATGACTGAAGATTTAATTCCACACAAATTAAATGTATTTGTTATCCTGCTAAAAAGTGCAATTTAGATTCCTGGTATCCTCACATAGGATTTAAGTTACAGAGATTTGTTTTCCAGATTGCAATTGATTTTCCTCTTAAATGTACAGAAGTGCATGAGAAAGTGATCAGAGTTCTGTATTCCTGGCTCATAACAACAAAATGGCCAAAAAAGAACTAACCAAACGAGATACCAGAGTAGTAGAAGAATCAGTGAACAAGGTCTACCATTAAGAAGCCTCCTATGGACAAATGTGTGCACAACTCAGGCAGCGATTGTCAGTTCATTTAGGATTAAAGACCCAAGTGTATGCAGATGTAAGAAGGCTTAGCATCTACTGGTGGCCTGCTGTTTCTCGCTCTCATTAGCTAAAGTGGAGTTTAGAGGGAGGGTGTAAGGAGCTGGAGAGCCGTGCACTGCCAGGCACGATGGAAAGTGTTAGGACTGCTGTGAAGTGATTTAGCAGTAATCACAAAAATTCCGGATTACCATATGATCTGACAGTCACATCTAAGGGTATGTAAGCAGAAGAATTGAAAACAAGGATCCAAAGAGACAACTTAGGTATTCTGATCTCTATAGTAGCTTAATTTATAGTAGTCAAAATAGTAGAGGCATCCTAGGGTCCACTGGCAAATAAGGGCATACAAAGGTATTCTCAGTCCTTTGTATATAAGAAGGCTACTGATTTTGCATCTTGTTACTTTGCTGAAAGTGTTTATCAGTTGTAGCAGTGATTATTTATGTATAAAATTATATCATCTGCAAATAAAGGTGCTTATGCTTCTTCCCTTCCGTTTGTCACCCCGTGATCACCTTCCGTTGTAGTCGAACGGTCCATTCCATTCTATCATGACTTCATGTACTAACGGACATCCTTGTCTTGTTCCTGATTTAAGTGGAAATTCTTGAGTTTCATCTGTCTAGTTTGATGGGCATTGGCTTGGTGTAGAGTGCCTTTATTTTGTTGAGGTGTATCCTTTGTATCCCTAGTCTTGCCAGGACTTTTATCATGAAGGACATTGGCGTTTGGCAAAGGCCTTTTCTCACCTCATGAAATGATCATGTGGGTTGTCTTTCTGTATGTTTACATGGTTCATTACTTGATTATGGTGGAAATTGTGTTTGATGTGTTCTAGAATCCAGACTGCAAGCATTATATTAAGAATTTTTGCATCCAGCTGGGCGGTTGTGGCGCACGCCTTTAATCCCAGCACTTGGGAGGCAGAGGCAGGCGGATTTCTGAGTTCGAGGCCAGCCTGGTCTACAGAGTGAGTTCCAGGACAGCCAGGGCTACACAGAGAAATCCTGTCTCGAAAACCCAAAAAAAAAAAAAAGAATGTTTGCATCTATGTTCATAAAGGAGATTGATGTGTTGTTATTATTGGTGGTAATTTGTGTGGTTTTGGAATTGGGGTAATTGTTGCCTTGTACAAAGGATTAGAAAGTGTTCTTTAGTTTCTCGATTGTGGAACAATTTTACAAGTGTTGCCATTAATTCTTTTTTAAAAGGTCTGGTTGAATTCTGTGCTGAATTGTCTGACTTTTGTTTTTCTTTTCGTTTTGTTTTTTGTCATTGTTTGATTGGGAGACTTTTAATTACTGCTTTTGTTTCATTAGGGGTTATAGGTCTGTTTGAATTGCTTATTTGATCTTGATTTAAATCTGGTAGATTATATAGATCAAGAAATTCATCTGCTTCTTTTAGATTTCCCAGTTTGGTAGAGATTGTTCACGTTTGTCTGTAGGAGTCTCTGAAGTTCCTCGGTGTCTCTTGTAATGTGCCCCTTTCATCTCTGATTTTATTAATTTGGATCTTTTTGTCTTGCTAAGTATTTGTCAATCTTTTCTTCCCCCTAAGAACACCTCTTGGTTTCCTTCATTCTCTGTACGTTGTGGTTTCTATTTCATTCAGCCCTGAGTTTTGACTGTTTCCTAACATCCACTCTTTTTGAATCGGTCACCATTTACTGCAGGTTCTCAGTCAGGATTCCAAGATTTAGCCACAGCTGAATTCTTCATGGGTTGGGGCTGGGTAGCCAGCTATGCTCAGCTATGCTCAGCTGTGCTGTGCCTCCACACTGACCCTCTTCAGTGCTACTTACTTCACTAATCGGATTTGAGTTCCTTATAAGAAATGCAGAAGCTGAAAACCACACAGGCTGCCAGCACCATGTTAAGCCCACAGTGCTGCCTTTCTGGACTTTGATGGAGTTATGATAGTGGCTGTGACCTCTCTGAGTGGTTCTCATGATGCCACTGGGGCTGAAATTCTGCATCAGTATCCAGCTTAGCAGCTCTCCAAGTTTAACCTCTGTGAGTTTCTCCTTTAGTGATACAAGTGATGCCATCATGCAGTTCTATGGTCACAACAAATGTGGATGCTGGGGACTGACTTCAGGTCCTCTACAAGAACAGTACGTGCTCTTGACTGCAGAGCCATCTATCCAGCCCTAACCATAATCTTTTTAAACTAAAAGACTGGTCTGTTAGAGCTCTTAATGTGTCAGATACCACGTAAGAAGTGCCAGAGCCCCTGTCCAGGCTGGCTGTGTGCATGGGTGACGTGTGTATCCTTAGGCACTAGTAGTAGGTTCAGGCCTTTGGTCTCTGCCGCCTCACAAATCTCTGTTCAGAAAGAGCACGTTGTAACACTTGACTGTTGAGTGGAGTAGGAGCTGTTACGTGACACTTAGTATGCACTGTTGTCACAGTCCCCTAAATGGACCATGAATGCTTTATGTCAAGGAAACTGTCTGATCAATGGAGAGAGATTCTCTAATAGTCATATCTTCTGCCATTAACTCTTTCAAGTGGCATCCTCAGATTACTGTGTTGATGACTGTAATCTTATTAACCATCCATTACAAAACAAGCCCCTGTGAATTCACCTTTTAGCTAACAAATACTTTTGTCTACTTTAAATCGTGCCCTACCATGCATTAAAAACACTGTAGAATAGCTGACTCTGGAGTATTAGCATTGGAAGGGCCTAGATGTTCTGATTTATTGAGGGAGTAAACCCTCAACGATAAAGAACTGCCTCAGGTATACTGTGATTTCACAGGCGACTTCCAGATGTTTTGAGACCTACTTTAATAAAGCTTCTTAAACACTTCAGCCTCCCTGATAGTCCACTGATCAAAGGTAGGAGAGTAAGATGGTTAATAGGAAGAGGGGGGGGGGTGTGGACCTGTTTAGAAGTAGTTCTTTGGGGCAATTCCAATCTTTGTTGTCAGTAGTCCAGTCCACTCAGATCAGCAGGAGGAGCTGCAGAAGACACTGCCAGCCTCCGCTGATTGGCATGAGAATGCTGAAGCAGCAAGAAGCAGCCGGAACATCTCCAGAAGTACTTTGGGTGCATTTCTTAACAAGCAAAGATCATCAAAGAAAGTAAGGCATACCAATGCCAGAACATTGTCCACTGTCTTTTGGGTTATACTTATCCTCTTTTCAGACATGGAGTGTTCCCTCATGTGTCTGCTCCAGGAAAACATCTCATGAGCTTTCACCAGACAGCCTCCAGAAAAATATTACATGTCTGCTTCAGCAAAGCATCCTCTCATAAGACAGCTTCCAGAAAAATGTCACATGACACAACTGAATCTCCAATGAAACCAGAAATTCTCACCTCAGCAGACTCTTACTCTCTGCTCCTCAACCAGTTTTAGATCTGTGTCAGGCATCATCTGCTGCACACATAAAGAAGCTTCTTTAAGACTTAAAGGACGCGCTAACCTCTGGGTATAATGATAAGTCATTAGGAGTCAACTTAATACTGTGTCAGGTTAGCAGGATAATAGTAGAAGGTTCTCCCCTAGAGCCCAGGACCTATCTGGCCAGAGGTTCTTGGCTGATAATAGTGTCAGGTATGGCTTTCATTTTGTAGAGTGGCCCTTCAATTTGACCCAAAAGTGATTGGTTTCTCCTGTGGTATTTGTGACATTGTTGCATTAGTGGGCTTGTAGTCTACTACCAGGCCAGTAATCATTGAGTTCACAGCTAACACTACTCTTCAGTAGTATGTGTAGCACCTTGCAGCATTATGAAATCTGGACAGTAGTGATGACTCACTCTTCCAGGTCAGTACCTGCTTGGTTTCTGCTATGTTCTGTGACTCAAGTACTTGATGTTTTCAGCAACAGGGTCTTACCACCAAGTTCTGGAGGTCAACCAAGAGTACTGGCAATCTCTGATGTTTGAGGGTCTGTGGGACCTCACTAGCTAACAACTCCAGAAGAGCTAACCTATTCCTGGCACTCAGATATTGGTAGCCTGTAGTCTCTAGTAGGGGCATTGTTGGTAGGGTAACTCTATCTGTGTGCCCCTCACCCCATATAAACACATGCACATATAAAGTTTGATTGTTCTTTTTTTGTTCATTTTGGTTTTTCTTTTTATTTTTTTGGAAGCTTCTTTTGTTTCTGTGTGACTTTCAGGTCTTTCTTAGTGATCCCCTCCCATATTTCCTCCTCTTCCCTGCTTTCCTGTCCCCTACCTCAGTCCTTTGATCTTGTCCAACAGTTTTTCAGAGCTTTTAGTAGGAGAGGATCAGCATTACCCTATTTCCTTAT